GCCTGCCGGCGGTGTGCACCCGCGCCAGGAAAGGGAGAGGTCTCCATGCGATTTTTGGGACTGCACGGTTTATTGAGAAACGAAACTGCGCCTGCACCGGTACGTACACAAACACAGAACTGGAAACAGGAGCGATAAGCCCTGCACTGACAGGAGCTGCCCAGAGAAGTTTACACAACGAATTCCAGTCACAGCAAGAGAAAGATTCAGTTAAAGAAAGTAAAAGGCAAATTGTTAATGCATTATCGGGAAATGAGTGTTTAATTTAGCCCGTTCCAAATTAGTATGTGACAAACCACTGCACAAAACAAGTAACCGTAATTCAGAAGATAATGCATCAACACAACAGCCATCAGGCTAGACTTAGTAATAGATACACCGCACTTGGTGGAACGGAATGTCTTTCATCTCTTCCCGGTGATCCCGGGCATAGTCCCAAAGATAGTAGTCGAGTAAAACTGCATTGATTTTGTCACTCATGTCCTGACCCTTCTTCTCATAGAGCTCCAGCAGATGCTTACAAATCAAAGCACAACACCAAATGGAACAGCCACGGATCTCCACCTCCTCTTTATCTCCAGACTGGAAAACTGTTCCTGCAGGACACAAGAGACAGCAATACATTTATATGCAAGAGGCAGAAGACCCAGGATGGCCTGAATTTCTTTTCCCCTGCCCTCCACATTTATCCTAAATGAGAACTGCAGCTTTCATGGCTAATACACTGCAACTGCTAACAATGTTGCTATATATTTTCTAGTGACTAATTTTATCATACACACATAGGAGTTCACCCCCCATTCTTAAATTCTTAAAACGCATCCTGCATTTTAAGAAAGTGGTTTAAGAAAAGAACAGGTGTTTCAGTTATAGTGCACATGATATGACTATTTCTTTGCTTGTAGAGACAGAAAGAACAGTCAAATGTAATTTCAAGACAGTGTATTTTCTGCAAGGATAATTCTGCTCAAGATTAAAAAATAAAATAAAAACCCCAAACTAAAACACAACCCCCCTTGCAAAAAAAAATTCCAAAACAAAACAAAACCCAAGAAAGCTACACATACATAAAAAGGTAAAGGGACTCATTTGTTTGAATGACTTGGATGGGAATGTCCTTAACTAGCTTTCATCAGAAAGTTAAGTTGTCTACATGATCTATTTAATACACAGAAATATATATATATGTGGCCACCCTATTAAGATCCATGGATGATTGTCTTTACCTGTTTATCTTGCTGTGTAATTTTAAAATTGCATAATAGCAGACCTACTTCTAGACACAGTCATTTTACAGTGGATAAAGGGTTGGTTTATGTTTTTATTCACTGATGTTCATAGTACTGGAATATGGAACCAGGCTTAGAAACAAGACTCTAGTCTGATGCAATTAACTTAAAGCAATTTTTGGTTTTTTAATGGATGCTTAATATTACCTTGCTTGTTATCAGCAGTTCAGTACAGATAACGAGGAACCTCCATTTACATCCTCTTTGAACTAATGAAGAAATAGTTGCTTCTTTTATCTAAACCTCAAAAAATCACAACTATACTCCCGTGTGGTTTTGGCAACAGCAGCCCTTCAGAAATTTAGATCTTAGAGTTTCTTTAATCCTTCCCTTATGAATGTTTAAGCCAAGGAACAGTTAGACCTTTATAAAAGCATAACCTTGAGATGTCATTTAAGATCATTGTTAGAGAATACGTTCATTCCTGATACCTCATCACTACGTAAGTAGTCCTTGTTCAGTGGAGAAAAATAAAATCACACTAAACTTTACACTGACGAAACATTACACTGTAAAAGCAGCTTTAGTCTACAGTGTCAAGAGGTAAGATTACTTGATATTAGAAAGGGAGGAACAAACCTTCACGTAGTTTCTTCATGAGTTCTTCAGAATACTTCATTGCTTTTAGGTGAACAAGAACTTGAGGAATTCTATAGTCAGCAAATATAGTCAGGCTAGAAATGTCTTCAAAAGAGCCATCTCCTTTGCCTTCTAATACACTCCATGTATCAGCCACAAGTATTTGTGCCCGTTTGTAGAAAGACACCCTTTTTTTCTGAGGAAAGAAATTTATTATTAAAGTGCCTGAAACATCAATAAATACAGCAAATGGCATGTACAGAGAGAGACATGTAAGAGTTACATTCTACAAAACAAACTATCATGTAGTCAAGCAAACAAAAATGCAACACTCTAACAGCTTAAAATCTAAACAATATCAAACCACAAACAAGTATCACATGGAATTCTCATAAATAAAAGAGAAACATCATAGCAGTCACTGCAGGGGAATAAAAACTGTTGAGATTCTGCTTGGATCTCAGAACACATTCATGCCGGTTTACTCCACTTAGCAAACAATGCAGTTGAAGTTGAGCAACCATTAATTCTTTCAGAATTCCTGGAGTTCATCCAACCTTTTATTTCAAGGAGAAAAAGCACGTACTGGATTAGACAACTGAAATATTTAATTAAATCTGTTTAACGTTAATGCAGTAAAATTCTACTCATGCCACCTATGAAAGGGCAGGTTTAAGTGATAAATGCAATAGGCTCAAAGTTCCAGTGGCTGGAACTTGGAACAAGGCTGGAACAAAGTGGAGTTACCTTGAGAAGACTGCAGAGACTACTGGTATACACCATGCTGTCAGTAGCATAAAGTCTCAGACATAATGATGTAACAGCTGAATGCTGTTACAGATGGGACTGAGCACAGGAGTGGCTACATATGTCACTGATGCTAAATGAAGACCATGCCCATATAGGCAAAACCAGAGACATGATAAAAAACAGACAGTCTCTGTCTACTTCCCATCAGTTTCATTCAGGAAAACAGCTCCAAAAAGCTTCACTACACTGTCATCCCTGACAAAAGGTATCAGTTACTTTTGGCCTGCAGTCATTTGTGCAACGCTTGTTGAACCAACAACAGTTACAGTGTGGATTCCCAGTAGTGCTACATTTTCACAATTCTACCAGAATTTCATTTCCTTCATTAGCTGCAAAGATCCACACAGGAGAAAGAAAGAGATAGGGGGATAGGGGCCATCGGTAGCAACTGAAACAAAGCGGGGAGGGAATAATAAAATTGTTATTTTCCAGGCAGTAATCATCTCAAATATCATGCATTTGCAAGGAGTACAAAGGGGTCATGATCGAATTTGGAACATGCAGTATATCAAAATAAATTACAACAAAGTAATAATGAAGACAGAGACAGCAAATGAAAAAAATGGCTATTCTCGGGGGGAGGGGGGGAGTGACTCTTGTTATTAGAAAGACATTCCAAACTAGTTAAGGACTTAACGCAATCAAAATTCTTTTACTGTTAATAAATTGTGTGATTCTGTTTTCAGAGGTTTAGACTGATAAATGATATCTCAACTATTTTACCCCAGCTTATCTTATCAAGAAGTATACTGTGGACCAAGAGTATTATTTAAAAAACCTTTTTCCCCATCTATGTGACTCATAGCAATTTACATAATTAAGATCAGCTGCTTCAAAGTCCAATTTTCCTTTCATTATACAGGCCAATATCTTTACTGATTTGAGGCAAAAATATTAAGAGTAATTCTTCTTATTTCCCTTGAATTTCCCATATTTCACAGAAATGTTTCTATTCACCTTTAATTTCCTGGATTAAAACCCCCCAACAATTCACAAATATTAGATCACTTCCAAACTTAACTTCTCAGAAAAATTCACATAGGCAACCTAAGAGCTATCTTTTAAAGTCACACAATCAAGGAGGAGTAAATTGTTACCATAAGAAACTCAGTGTTAGAACCAGCTTACCTCAAATACAGCTTCATCTCTGTAAGAAGGGAAGTTTTCCAGTACTAGATGCAGTAGTTTCTGAGCACTTCTCTTACTCATTTTAACGCAGGTGAAGAAAGAGCCTCCAAACTTCTCCAGCAGAACTGTTCCACTTTCATTCAGCACCCGATGTCTTTCTTCAATCAAAGGTATGGACACTTCCGTGTCAGAGCGAAATACATGTTTAACTTGGTCAAGTGTCACGGTGGCAAAATATGATGCACTGGTAATAGGTATTCCTTTAGAAAAGGGAAAATAAGATGTTTAGGCTTCCATAACATATCCCAAGACTTAATGCAGTCGCCTGCCACAGATGAAAGCATTTACATGGTAAGATCTATAGAATCTATCAACTTGTAAAAACAATCACCTGAGCATTCAGTGATAACCACACTCATCTGGCTGCCTAAAACCAAATTCGCATTTGCAGACATTGTTTCCTTCTACAGTTTCCAACATGTAACCGTGGAACCCTTACTACTTTTTACATGTAATTTTCCCCAACTGCTTAGTCTTCATCCTTCAGTGCAGTGTTTGCATAGCACATTGGCAAATACAGTTCATATAGAGATAGATTAGTCAGCATAGGCCTGTTTTTCCTTAGATCTTAATCACATTATGCATTTACAAAAAGTATTTTAACCAAACATTCACATGATTTACAAGCAAATATCATAGAATGGTTTAGGTTGGAAAGGACCTTAAGATAACACAGTTCCAACTCCCCTGCCATGGGCAGGGACACCACACACTAAACCGTGTCGCCCAACTGGCCTTGAACACTGCCAGGGTTGGAGCATTCACAGCTTCCTTGGGCAGCCCATTCCAGTGCCTCAGCACCCTCACTGTAAAGAACTTCTTCCTTATATCTAACCTGAACTTCACCTGTTTAAGTTTGAACCCATTACCCCTTGCCCTGTTGCTATGGTCCCTGATGAATTAAAACTTCCATCTGTATCTGCAAGTAGATTTTTTTTTGTTCTTATTAAAATACTGGGTTTGAGGCATACAGGTTTTCAGAGTCACTGGAGCTGCTTTCGTACTAAATTAGTAGAAAGGATACTCAGCTGAATTCTCATTTTCTTATTTGTCACGGAAACATGCAATTTATCTTAATAACACATGTGAAATAATAGAAGTCACAAACAGCCGACCACGGGCATTCCTTATAGTCTTTTTAATGGATAAACGGTAACGCAATTAGGGCCACAAGTTATCTAATTTCAGCACAAGGTGTTATTAATGCACTTCCAGCTACCTCCCCCAAGGCCCACAGGATGGCCTGCACACAGAGATTCATCAAAACGGTAAGGTGTAGTTTGCAGAAGTGGCTCCCATTTCACGGAGTGGTTTAGGTTGGAAGGGACCTTAAAGCTCATCCAGTTCCAACCCCC